GCAGAACGAGGGGCAGGGAGGGGGCGAAGTAGTGGAACGGATGTTTGCACGTTCAGCAGTGCTGTGAGGTGGTGAAGAGGATGGGGAGCGAGGGGGTGGGGGTGTAGATGGATGGGCTGGCAGTTGGAGGATGGGCACGATTCACCGTGCTAGCTCTTAATTATTTTAATTGGACTCATTAGCTAAGTGAGCATGAGAGATGTCACCTGCATGGCACGCAGGACCGCACCTGCCACAGTGACAACACTATTATCATCACACCCCCGACAGAGGTTCCACTGATAAATGAAAAATGGATCCAGACGCACAAACATTGGTCATTTGTTGCTGAGCAGCCTTTCAGTCTGTTTTCTGATTTCCTGCACAGTGAGACATTGATTCTGCTTTACGAACAAGCTGAGAGAGGGACGACACAAACATTTCAGGGTACATTTTCTACAATTTCTTGCCTTAAAAGTTGTACTTTTGCTCCTTTGTGTGTGTTTGTGTCTGTCTAATATGTCGTCATCATCTAATAAGCTGGACAGATTTTAATAAAACTGTCAGAAAGCAATCACTGGACGTACATTTGAAACTTTTTGATTTTCGGATTCAAAATTTTTCAAAATGGCTGCCACAGCTAACCGACCTACAGAACTATAAAAACAGCAACAATTCACCCTTTTTTGCAGATTTTGAACTAAAACTTGGTGTAGTGGTAGATATCTGTTTCCCAGCATTGGATTTCATAAATTTTTTTAAAATTTTTATTATTTTTTTGCCTTTAGCAGTTTAAATCTGTGATGGACTTGCAACCTGTCCAGGGTGTACCCCGCCCCTCGCACTGTGACTGCTGGATATGGGCACCAGTGACCCCCGTGACCCTGATAGTAAGAAGCGGGTATAGATAATGGATGGATGGATGGATGGATGGATGGATGGATGGATGGATGGATGGATGGATGGAGTTTAAATCAATTTTGTTTGTTCGTTAAAGAAATTTATGCTTCCTAGTCGGTTTGCTTTGATGGACATTATTTATTAGCTTCTCCAAACGTTTATCACGTGTAAACGTATATCCACTGCTTACTGGAGGTTTCCGTAAAATCCATCTATTAGCTCATAAGATATTTTGCTAACACTTCAGATGGATGAAAACACAGGCGTGAATAAAAAAACATTATTACCTCTTCAACCTTTGTTAGCAGGCTCTAACTGTCACACTTCCACTGAACATTAATGAGCTATTAACTGTTATTTGAGGCAGATGGTGATTGAAGGAAGGATCCTAATGCAGAAACGGGAGGCAGGGGATTAAAAAGTAAAAGCTTTTGATAATTTTCCAACCGACTGATAATGCTGAGCTAATCAAACCGGCAGCAGAAGAGGACAAAGTCACTGAAAACCCTCTTAAAATCAAACGATGGATCCTAAAACCAGAAATACACAACACAACACAACACAACACAACACCAAAATAAGACACAAACTTTAGACAAGGCTTATAAAATAAATAAAAATAGAAAAGCATTGAAATGACTGTGATTAACTGTTTTGTTCATGCGTTTTGTCTAAGCGAGTTGTGAAATTATTGTATGCAGGTGTGTTTGTTGTGTTAGCAAAATATTTCATGACTCAGACAAGATTTTGAAACATTATTACTTTATTTCAAGATCATTACTATTCTCATTTGTTTATTCTTCTACGTGAGGTGTGGTGTGAAAAGTGGCAGGTGATATTTATTCCTTCAAAAAATAAATGCTTGGCCTTTAAAAATCATCAAGGTGCCCTATCAGGACTAACTCTTGTCTTTATTTTGTTCTGCATGAATAAAATGAACTTGAAATCCTTCTTTGGAAAGCCTGTTCTGGCTCTGAAGGAGAGCTGTCCATATCCAGATCTACAGGACTTATGTCTGCTGTCCTCATTTTGGCCGTGGTTTGTCTGCAAATGTCACATAACCAAACATGAAACTCACACAACTTCATATATATGCCTCATTCTTTGCTCGTTTTAATGTTTCGTGGTGGATTTTTCTGCAGCCTGGTGGCAACAGAATCTCAAACCTGCAGGAAGATTTTATGTGGTGACAAACTTTGATGTTGACAGGGCTACACCTATCTTTGTTCTCCCCGGCCCCCAGCAGACAGCCTGGCAGGTGGGCTGGCRGCCAGGCAGGATGGCAGGAGGCTGGCAGGCTTAGCCCGGGGGCACCATCTCTAACAGAGCCAACTTTGACCAGCTGGTCCAGACCCACACCACACTGTGAGTCTGTRCCACCGCATCAGAGGGGAGGTAGATGTTCGCCTCGGAACAGACAACCTCGCACCAAGAGCCTGACACCTACAGCAGCAGAGCTGTCCTGGTGGGGTTTAGGTGAGAACTCTGTCTCGTCTGTGACTTGTCGGGTCATCAAAATGCTTGCAAATTTCAGTCCGAATGTGCCCCACCCTCGCCTCTGTTCTCCCCCTTTCTCAGCGCCAAGTCTGTAGTCCGGTTTTGTCCACAGTGTCATGGTGGTTTAGCTCCATCAGAGCCCCAAGTGACTGACATAATCTGGAAAAAAAATACTTTTCAGACACCGCTCAGCTGCTTTGTTAACTTAGAGCTGTTTGGATGGCTTAGTGACAGATTTAAACACAGACAAATACTCAGTAAAGTAAATAATGAGAAGTTTTCATCATCAAAACTCCCTTTAGCATCTCATATTTCATTAGTTTGGACTTAGACGTTTAAAACACACTTTGAAACTAGAGAAACTGTATTATCTGTGAAAATACAAGACAATTCTGAGTGCTGAAATGCTTTGTTGAAATTCACTGAAGCTGAAAAGGAATTGTTAAAGCTAGAAAAAAAAGCTAAACAGAGCAGAACACTCGCTAAAAGGAGCAAAACACAAACTAAAAGCCAAAGTTAAAGTTAATGTAACAAAAAAGCAAGCTAACTTCAAGAAAATATTAGCTAAAAGCTAAAATAGCAAAAACTGAAGTTAACTGTTGCAGAAAGGTAGCTGAAATTTAAAGAAACAATTTGATAACTTAAAGCTAAAAATAACCAAAAGTTACCTAAAAGTCAAAAATAACAAATGGTTTGCTAAATGTCAAAGGTAGCAAAAGGTTAACTAAGACCTAAATGCGTGCAGAACTCACAAGAAGACAAAAATAGTGCATTATGATGAAGCACATTTCAAAAGTAACATTTTGTTTTAGGAGATGAAGAGATCTAAATGTTTTTCTATGAAGAAAATAGTTGTAATCAACAGTAAATATTTTAGGAAAGTATGAAAGTTACAAAAACCAAAGGTCACAGCACCCTGCTCCTGAATGAGATGAACGTTTTGAAATACAGAAAACGACTCAAATATAAAGTATGAAGAAGTAGTTGCGAAAAGAAGAGATAAATATATATTTCAAGTCAAACCACTAAATAATGAGCCAACTTGATCCACTCTGACTGATATTATTTGAGTGCCCACCCCATCCCACGCAACTCTCATCCTTTTCTTCATCTGACAGTTAAAAGGCTTATATATGTACACACACACACACACACACACACACACACACACACACACACACACACACACACACA